TATTTATTCCAGTGAGGATTCGTCATATTCGGTCAAATTCTTGGTCACATTCAGACATGTGAAAGATGAATATAGTCATTTGTTCAATGAGGGAATAAAAACGATCACTGTGTTTGATTTCAAAACACTCAGAGCATTCGTCTGCATTCTACACTGTATGTTCGGAGTGACATTCGAAGATCAAACGACTTGAGTCTGATGTGAGTTGTGATACTGATCCACTCACAAATCTACAATTAAGTAGTTGGTATTGCTAATCACCGTAACCTAACCATGCGTCAATGAAGAGTTGCATGTCAGCTAGTCATGCATCGAGGAAGTTGAATTAGGTGATCGTCGTACGCCATTCAATTATGGTAGGTAAACAACTTCGAGTTTGACAGGAATCTCAACTTGTAACTGAGAAAATCGCATCCCTATCATCGAACTGGAAATAACCGACCATGACCTCAACTACCAATACGAAGCTCCCATCCTTGTTAATTGTTTCTTCAAATTATGAAAAGTTCATTTTAAGGTTGTTGCCTAACTAATTACGAGATTGTGTACTGTTAGAGGAATTATTCATAATGGAGTTTTAGAGGTAATTATTCCTCAGAGTTCAAAGTGATTTAAGTCCATTTTATGTAATATTTCCTGTTTACTTAATTGAAGCGAATTATTCTCTTTCTCAACTTGAGAACATGTCAATGTTGAAATAATGATATATGTAGGTCAGTATTGATTAGCAACAAATTAGACAGATTATAAATGAAAAGTGTGGAATTTCGTTTGTCAGGCCATTGATCACGCTGTTGTCATTGGATTACTGAATGTTTGTAATCGTGTGGTACCATAATGCGGTTAGATTATGTTGATTTGTGATAGCTGTCAAATTACAAGGAAATCGTTTGTAGTTATACTTGAATGTATGTTTGTTGCATTCACATTTTGAGATGTTCTCTGCTTGCTCATCTTTCATGCATCATAATAATGAACTTCATAGTCAAATGTTTGACTTTTAGTCGTCATCCGATGATTTCTATTCAACTCTCGACTCGGTTCTGTATTGAAGACAGATAGTAATCAGTGTTGCTCCTCTCACTTGTTCTCTATGTGAGTTTTCGATGATTCTGCAACCAGCCTTGTTGTTAGCTATCATACCGTTATATATATTTAGTATAGAAACTCGAACAGTTGAATTTTCTCTCTTCAGGTGCTACTTCATAGTTCCGATCACATCGCCATCAGCCATCAATGGAGGGGTTTTATAGAGGACCAAGCTCGTTCTGGGGCACAGGTCTAATTTTGTGTCATTGCCCTAGTGCGAGCGCGCATTTGTTTGAGTCTTACTGGAAGTAGAAAAGGCAACTCGATGAAACTTCGTAGGGTTCTATATAATGATGGAATAACTAAGAATATATTTCAGGATCAACTAGGGAATCAGTTTGTCAGCCATCAAGTCAGTTATTCCCAACCCAGGCAGCTTGGAATGATATCAAAATAGCTGTGGAAACCGCAAGGATATCTACTAGTAAGGGAAACCATAATGCTCGAATGAATCCGTGGACCTCAGCAGCATTCACGGAGCTGACAGACGCTCGTAAACACATCATACCTCGGTCCGAACATGATGAAGATCGAAACCAGCTTAAACGCGGGCTGATAAAAAGCTTACGCAATGACCGCGAATAGTGGTGGGTGGCGAAAGCAAAAGCGATGGAAAAGGCAGCGGTGACAGGCAACAGTATACAACTTTTCTGACTTATCAAGGAAACCGGTAATAAGAATCCGACCTTTAGTGAGACTATCTCGGAAAAGTATGAGACTTTTATTCATTCGTAATCCAGGATATTGGATCGATGGGCAGAACACTTTAGGGATCAGTTCAACTAGCATTCAGCAACACTTCAGTTACCTACGATCTGCAGTCATCCTGAATGGCACGTGAACGTAAGCCCTCCAAATCTGTATGAAGTAGTAAAGGTTATAGGAAATCTGAAGCAAAGGAGAGAAGCAGGACCTGATAGATTTTACCGCTAAGATTTTCAAGGATGGTGGTCGAGTTTTAGCAGCTAGATTGACTGAAATCTTAGGTAGAATCTGGGAACTGGGTGTAATCCCATCTGACTGGTATCAATCACAACTGATTTTCCCACTCTGTGAGAAAGGACAGAAGACCTCTTGTGACAGTCACAGAGGACTAAGTTCAACTAATATAATGCCGAGAATATTGGCTTCAACAATACTCCGACGACTAACTAGTGCTCGTGAAGAGCATATTAGGTAAAACCAGGCTGGTTTCAGACCTGGATGTGGATTTATGGACCAAATACTCACACTACGTCAGGTCCTAGAACAAAGACACACATTTAGGCGTCCGAAAATAGTTGTCTTCCTGCACTTTAAGGCGGTATTTGTCTCTGTGGATCGTGAGGTTCTGAGGCAGCGACTGCCATTAGAAGGCATAACAAAGAAGTACATTAACCTTATACAAGTTCTCCACTCGAACATCACTAGTCCAGTAAGAGATTATGGCGAACTGTCGTCTGAAATCGGTTACTTCAAGTGGTGTCCGTCAGGGATGTCCACTATCCCTATTCTTTTTTAACTTTGTCGTAGATATGCTGCTAGAATAACTCAATCATTATCTGACTCTTTAGGAGTGGACCTTTTACCAGAAGACATACCGGCTGAGTTAGAATATGCTGATGACATAGTCTTATTCGGTGAAGACGCTGACAAAATGCAGAGTCTTCAGACTACCCTAAAAAACAATGTAAGCATGTTCGGGATGCGGTTTACCCCCTCGAAATGCAAAATGTTGCTTCAAGATTGGGTTGCATCGGCAACTGAATTGGTGATATGGAGTGAAGTAGTCGAGCGTGTAGACCGTTTCACTTATCTGAGGAGTCTCATCAATGCTGATGGCCTGGTGACTGACAAAATTTCAGCTCGGATACAGAGGGCTCGATTGGCTTTGGCCAACCTGCATCACTTATGGCGCAGGCGAGATATCCGCCTGTTAACCAAAGGACGAGTGTACTGTGCAGCTGTTTGCTCCGTACTACTATACGGATGCGAAACATGGCCGGTGAGAGTAGAGGACATTCGTAGGTTGCTCGTCTTCGATCATCAATGTCTGAGAAGAATTACTCGTATATTCTGGGACAACCGAGAAAGCAATGCTGTCGTTAGGAAACGGTTGCTTGGTGGAAATAGCATATCAATTGACTAAGTATTGAAACTCTACCATTTGAGGTGGTTGGGATATGTGTTACCTTTGCGTGACCACTGACTGCCTCGACGAGCTATGTTTTGTGGTGTAGGAGTAGGTTGGAAGAAAGTTAGGGGCGGCCAAACCAAAACATGGCACAAATCCATGAAGTCGCTGACAAGTGGACTGATTCATGTTGGTAGATGTAGGCTATCTGGTTGAGGTCCGTGAGACGAAAGTAACCAATGGTTAGAGACCTTGAATGATATAGCTCGAAATCGTTGGCAGTGGCGCAGGTGCATTCATTCACTATGTTGTCTCAAATTCTGATCTTCAGAATTCATCATCATCTCTATCTTTTGCTTTATAAATTTAATTTTCTGACTTTTACATCTAAAGTCATATCTTCGAACCCTAACCTTCTCCATTACTACTAATACTATCGCTACCATTACTGGAATGAAGTGACAGTTGCGTCTCTGATAACATTAACTGATGTCCATACGTACTAAGTTCTACGTTGTTACTGACTGTCTGACTGACTTCATAGCTACACTGTGGTTGTCGTTCTGTATTCTAAACTCTAACTCAATCCGGGTTATTTTGTTAAGTGTTGGAACAAACAGGGATTCTTTTAAATATGACTATTGTAAAACAAAACAACTATCTGTAACTGCAGACATGGTATGTGAGCAAACAATAGTTTTTTCGGTCGCAAATTTCACAGTCTCTCGTTTTATATATATGAGAGTACGCAGCAATGTATTTATATTTCTAAATCCTTACCACTATATTTCAATATTTACGATAATCTAGTTGACAGTTTTATTGAAGTGAAGGCTTTTTGTATCAGGACAGAAGCATAAACTATACATAGTATTTCTGGTAGCTACTGTCGAAATGCTAGATGTTGATGGTCCGTAAAATTACTTTTAATTGTTTAGTCAACCTGAAAACACAGCACACTTCTTTTCGTTTCAGTTCAAATTCTCCACTGAAATGACACATTCTGATTTCTTTTATGAATTCTCTGTGAATAATATAGATGTTCAGCACCTCATATTTTTTAAAATCATATCAGTTTTTATTTAATTTTAATGGAGATCCATTAATAAATCTTTTAAATTTAAATTTCTGGATAACGGAAAGAAATGGTTATTTGTAAATAATTTCGTAATATAAGGTACTTTAATAATTTTCCAACAAATTTAACTGATGTTTGTTTCACAATATGCTTTACGAAGTGTTGCATTTTATATATCAATGCCAGAGTAGCGGCGTGTTTCATGATAAACACAGTAATATTTTTTATTCGTCCACCATTATCATTATGCGTGGGGTTTTAGACCACTTTTCTTTTCGATATTGTTTAAATAACAAGCAATATCTATTGATCCACTCATTTTACTTGGTTTTTGCCTTCTTACTTTTCATAAAACGTAGTACAGAACAAACCGAAAATTATTAATTTTATGGATAGTATCGTTCTCAAGAAGCAGTGAATTCTTCGACGCCTTAAACAACACGAAACATAGAAACAAACAGTTTCAAGCTCAATTATTCGCAGCATGCGTTTGAATTATAAAACTAGAATAAAGCTGGTATTTCAGTACTTATATCTTTAGGTTTTGGATAGCGCAGTGTCTTTAAAGACTTTAGGCTAAGTTAAAATAGTGAAAGCATATGTGCAAAAAACGGAAATGCGATATTATTTTCGTCATTATTAACTTGAAATACTTCAAAATTGATCTGAAGTACCATAAAATTTATCGAACACAATTACTTTGAAAAATAAGACCCTTACTATCAATTGCATCCTCTTCAGCGATACTATTATTCTGTGGTCTGGCACTAAAAGGATTTGTGTTTGCCAATGTTTCAGACACAGTACGTAGCTTTGATGTTAGACTAGACAAGCGCATAGTTGACTTTGTCCCATCATATAAAGATTTCGACCTAAAGAAAATCTAGATAAAAAATTTGAATTTCCTACCTATGTAAAAATGCTTGGGCACTATTAAGATTTGCTTTTTCGCGGAAACTCATTTCTGTCTACATTTTACATTCTTTGAACAACGCGGGTTAATATTTGGTGAAGGTGACCTTACAAATGAAGCAGCTAATATTCATAAATTTCGCATCTTGTATGTCATACAGTTCCATCTAGATATATATAATACTAAGCATGAATAAATAAAAGATTTATAAACATAGGGTACATACTATATAAAATAGGTATCTTTCTTGGAACACCTACTTCGGAACGTACAACTATGTTCCATATATTTCTTCAAACTACTATAGTTCTGCATTCTATCCATACTAAGTTTTGGATTATGGATCATAGAAACGTTACACAGAATAGGATTTTCAGACTCTGAATTTAAGTTGCATCGTACGTGATGAACCAGAAGTTATCTGGTAAACCAAACCGAAACTGTTATTCTGTTATTCATATCCAAACCTACGTGGATAATAATTAAACATTATAATCTTATTACTTCAAATATAATAGTCTCTGTTCTTGAGTGTTCCTTATGAAAATGGTACTCTGATGTACGGAATGGTCTAGTTAAACTGAGCTATTGACTATATGTCTTTACAGTTTTACCTTAATAACTGGAACATACCACATATCATACCCACAATTAATTCTAACCTAGGGGGAATGTTGAAAATTACCCACCCATAAACATAACTTCAGTAGTATCTAGGGGGATGGAGAAAGTAGTTGAGGCAGAGTTAATACAATATCTACTCAATAACAATCTGATATCGACCTCACAGCCTGGGTTCTTCTGAAGTCCAGCTCATGCGATACATGCCCGCTAGATAATCTCAATGACATTACTCAAAAACAAGAAAAAGGGCTCCTAGTGTCAGTCCGATGGCATCAGCGGTTGAAAAATAACTTAATATTCTCCTGCAAAATAATTTATGGCCTCTTATTTGAACAATCCCACCGAATTATGAATCACAGTCTTTCTAACAGACTCAGGAACAAGGCATATATACTGCTAGCTGCAAAACGTAAAAAGTCATTGCATTGTGCTTCCTTTGTAACACGATACGGTTTACTAAGGAACAGATTACCGTTTTCTGTTCGTATCTGTGACACAACCACCAGGTTCGAGGAACTAGTATTGCTGTTGTTAGACTTCAGAGAGATCTACCAACTCATACCAAATCCCGAGGCACTCGTTTATGGTCCGCCAAACATTTAGATTAGCCTTAGAAACTTAATTTGAAATGCTTGCTTAACTGCTGTCGATTACAATGAACTCAAATTTCCTGTATCAACAAGAATTTCTTCTTATTCATGGATTAAAAGTATAACAAATGTTTATTTGCCTGATTCTTTAGCATACAAACACCTTGCTATTTCGCCTATTTATCGCCGTACACATGTAATTTTAGGACACAATTTTTCCTCATTTTCTTTCGTCATCTGCCAATAATTCTTATTGTTGTAGTACCTATTAAACATACCACTTTGCGGGATAACAAGTGCTAATCCCGTTACTCTAGTAATCAGAAAAAAGGAGATTCTAGAGGAAGAAGTATATTTAATGCTAGCTTCGTGATATCGAAATAACCACGAGAACAGGGTACACAAGCGGCCAACAGCGAGCGACGAAAGGAGGTCGAGAGGCAGAGACACGCTTGGCGCACGAGAGATAGTCTTTTGTACAGATAAACAAGAGGTGTACAACATAACAATTATTGTCAGAATTAAGTACAAGAATAAATTTTTATATTTCAGAGATTGTGTTTTCTTCGTAAAAGTAAACCACTACGCTATCTCCAAACTACCTATTTACTGAACAATTTCTTGCAATTTATACCATAAGTTAACTGAATATCAGTTTGATATGCCATGTGGATATTTAGTTTACCTTACAGAAGACAAAGTTGTCTGGTTTGCTTGTAACGTAGAGACAGAGGAAGTATACCCCGAAAAGGTGTAACAAAATAGGGCTTAGATTAAAAACCATGGAATAAAATCTAACAGTAAATGTAAGGGAGCATAGAATCACAAAAGGAGGGAGGGTGGTTTGTCAGAACGGCATTCATAACAGTGAGGCGATAACCTCAGTCAACCCAGGTCAGTGGATTAGGACATTTTGTTTGCTTACGGCTCCTTATTACGCAGCAGGATATAACTGATATTGATATTGAAGTGACTTTTCCAAGTCAATCACGCTTATGACTCATGTTTTTAACCTTTCATTGGTTTCCTTTCCTACCAAGAAATGCTATTGCGAATAGATCTCGACAGATTAGTTGAAAAACAGCTCACTCGTGAGTTCTTGAGGAATAGCGTAAAAAACGATTAATGAAATATGACCAAAGCATATAATAACATATTCTTTAAATATACAGTATTTATAATAATTTAGTTCCTTTGAATCTCCTCTATTCATAAGATTATGTTACGAGTGATTTTACTTCATTAGTCATCATAAGTGCAGGTGTACATTTGGTGTTCTAATATAGTAAACGACAGGTCTGAGTTATCATACCTATGATTTTTGCAAAAATATTACCAGCCTTATATAAGAATCTTTTCTGTTCTGCTCCTCGGCCCTTTCTTTTTCAACACGTCTTGTGGTGCGCGCTACTTATAAGTAGTCAATGACGCGATTAAAAAAGTAATGTCTGGCAGCAGAAGATGGGGGAAGTTCAAGAAAGGAAGGGTGGGAACACAATGGGATTTGTATGAAACGCATGAACAGTGAAATGTCAGACAATGGATTGATGTTTGCAACAGGGACAGTTCAGTTCGTTATGATGGATTGATATTTTGCAAATTAACGATTTACGATATGGTTTAACTCTGTTATTTAAGATAAATACAATTCGGTTGCCCTCACCTGTGTTCTCCTTCGCTACGGTCGTTCTACTCCTTACCGTGGGTAATTGCCTCAATCAGTTGAGGACGTTATTTCACTAGAACTCACTTGATAATGTCCTCTTTTTGGATTTTTTATGTTTTCGCGGATAAGTTGTTTAATTGACCTTCAGCTTACATTTCCCACTCAGAAAATCCTTGGCTGTCATAGTCTGATGAATTATTTTAGTACGCTGCTTTGTGGCTCTCCCAAAGACGTTGCTATCATTGTATAAATAAGCTTGACTTGTGTGCTTAGCAACCTCGTATTTTCTGAGTGCTTGTAGAATACACTCTCTACGCCTTATCAAGACTTCTTGCTTTTGTTAGCCGGGGCTGGGACAACGGAGTAGAATAGCCTATCGTGTCACGCTCCTTTTACCTAGTAAAGTCAACTCGTAATAGTTTCAAGAATATCAATTGACGAGCGTAACACTAACTCAGGAGACTGTAAATTTATTATCTGACGAATATCAACTATACATCAACAACATACTGCTAGAATAAAAACAACTGAAAAAGGGTTGAAGTTAGTCGCTACTACATTTTAATTGAGGATAATATTCCTTACTGTCCTCTGCTGAATGTTAAGTTTTTAAGCGTCCGATCAAGCTTAAACAGTACTAAATTCTCTTCATTTTGATGTAACAAACGATTGGAGCTATCCCTAACTTTGTAGCCTAACAAGAGTATTAGTTATACAGAAGCATGAAATCAATAATGATAGAAATAGTATTTACTTTTTCAAATCTTTATTATTTTCAAGACAAAATAGGCATGAAGAGCTGAAAGTCCCCACTGGAATACGAGATTAAACTTTCAGCAAGGAGAAGTTATTCACAAAGCAAGTGAAAGGAATATTACTTATACATTAAACAATAATCATGAAATACTGTAAGCAAAATTACGTAACAGATTGTTAGTGTTAAACGTCTTACATGTTATGTGGAAGGTTTTTCTACATAGGTAAAATCATAAAATAATATAACTCCAAATTAGCATGGTTCACATGTGCATATATATATATATATATATATATATATATATATATATATGTATTGATTGTAAAATATAACAACAGTAGAACAATAAGCTGAAGATAAAAGAATCAACTAATAAAATCATGTTTATACAAATGCATTTACAACCATAAAAAAGAAAATGATGCATAAAATTGGGAGATTATAAAAGATAAAATTTAGAGAAACTCGATATAAAACATATGAAAAAAGAAAGAGTTATACTGTGAAGCGAAATAAATATGTATATCACAATAAGTATCACAGACGCAACAGTGAACAACATTGATCAATAAAGATAAGTGTTATAATTTCATATTTAGGCTTTTGGAACATTGATTTCTGGAGAGATTGATTCATTTTCGGTTGTTGTAATTTCAGATGGTACAATAGAAGAAGAACTTATTGATATGGAATTTGAAACAACTGATTTTAAAGTATCTGATAATTTCCATACAAAATTTGCGGATGAAGATGAACGTAATGTTGAATTGAAATCACCTGATAAGTAGAGAAAGCAAAACGAGATGACTGTGTACGGTGTCAGTGTTAAAACGATAGTGAATGACAGGGACATTTTAACTACATGCAATGGAAATTAGCAAAATGTATGAACAAGTACACACAAAGATAAGTGGATCTGAAGGCAATTTTTATAACGTCCGCTTCAGTACATTTCCTATAAACTAACGAAACATGTATTTTCCCTTTTTTTCCTGGTTTCTTGATGAAGTTGCGAGATGGGGAAACTGTCAAGCTATAACGGAAATTAGAAGAAGTTGACAATTGTTATTTAAGCCTTATAAATCGATTTTTGAAGCTGATTGTTAAAGCACAACTATACAAAAGGAGAAATAAAACATCTAACAACCATGAAGTATTTGGGTGCTAAAAGCAGACAGAAAAACTTCGATTGGACCAATGAGATTTATGTATTTCCAAAGTCTTGTGTACGTATGGACCCAGTTTACCACATGACCTTGAAACATCATAATACTTGCCTAGTTTTCCGAGCACATCGATTTTCAAAAACAGGTATTATACCCTTTATTTACTTGCTCTGATGAAAGATACGAGAAATTGTTCAATTAGTTATGACGATTCTTTATTCTGCTTTAGAACTGACATAATAATATTCAACCGTTTAATTTGGGGTTATGCATTGATGCGTAAAATTTTAAAGTTAACTTGAATGGATCTCTCTATATTTCAAGAGTTACATATTAATAATTTATGATAACAATAGTAACAGCAGAAAACGGCATTATGAGAATACGTAGTAGTAGAATTGTAAAACAAATAGGCAGAAATTATGGCCAAATTAAATAATTTAATAAATTAGTTTCAATTATCCTGTTGTTGATATTTTTTGATTGAAATTTGATTAAGTCTTAATTGACATATGTGCATTTTGTGTGGATTACGTCAATACAGCATAGTAGTAAAATACAAGTTTACATAAAATCGATGTTATGCAAGTGGTAGTGATGAGAATACACCTACATGATTTACAAATGTTTGCATGAATTCTTGATTGTTGGCTCTAAACCATCTAAATAATTAAATTATTACAATTGATTATAAGCTGCAAAAACTAATATTGTTTGATTATCAAAAAGTGTGATTATTTTTAGAAAGTGTTTAAGCCTGACCGAATCTGCCCACCCCCCACTTGATGTGGTGATCAAGTTTGCACAAACTGAGAACAATATCGACTGAAATATTCATTTCTTTGGGTTCAAACATGACAGACTCGTTGTTGTAGTGTGCTAATTGCTACACTAGATAGTTGTCATATTTTCAATAATAATATTCTAGAGGATGTTGAATATTAAATGCTTTGTATTAAGGGTACTGGTCGAAATTATGAATGAGCTTTAGTCAAACAATACGTAGGTATGGCTTAAATCCAATGATTTTACATACTGTTGAGGTACAAGCCTACTGATATACAGTTCGAAATCATGGTCGTAATGATACATAGCGTTCGATTCCAACTTTATGTAGACTAGTGAAGGTTACAAACCGTTTTCTAAAATGTTTAATCATGCGGCTAACTTGAAAGCGCTTAGGCGGAATATCTTGACTACAAAATAGGTGACGTCCCAATTCGAGAACTGCACTCTTCAAATTGTAATAGAGTGCAATGAGAAGGTTCATTAAAATCAGATGCACCATCTAAAGATACAGTAGGAAACAAGTTACATAACTTACGGTTTTGAAATTTTATACCCTACTGCAACTAATATTCCTAGGATGGAATATTATTTCAAGCGTAATTCTGAAAATCAAGAGTACAAATATGAACGAGTCTGGACTACTACGGTATGTAGCATGCTTATCTTTGAAACATGTAAACAGGCAACTGTGTTTATAACCAGATCCTTTCCGCGTTTTAACGATAAACAGCTCAAGCACGCCTATTTCGACGTATTCAAACAGGTACGCACATTTTACTAGCTTTCAGATCAGGACACCCATAGTAATCGGCTAACACACGCAGGTATTTTTTCTTCTACATTCAATAAGGTCACTAATAACCATTTTTTTACAATCGATCACCTTTTGACGAGTCAATACGTAGGTTCTCATACTACCTAATATTTGCATTGATCCTAGGAGAAATCGGACAGCACGGAAGTGCAGAATTTTTAGAGATGCGGCTGGGTGATTGTTTGATACAATGGACAGGTAGATTCTTTTTGAAATCATTACATCGAGACCAAAATACCTGGCTACATGAACTCATACCAACGAGTTCAATTTTTCTACACGTTTCTTGAAAGCTATATATTTAGAACTATTTTCGGTTCCGGTACTGTTCAAGGCTTTCCACTCAATGGTCTTAATAGTAGTTCTTTCTACACAAAGATATTTACTCTTTTCCTATCGATCGTGAATTCCTAACTTTTTTCGTACATGCTTTTCTAATCTGCCTTTTTGAACTATATTCTCATCGCTTAGTCCTTCTAGTTATTATAGTTACTGTATTATTTCGATGGCTGTTTTTATTTATTGTGTTATTTTCATCTCGTCGAGTGAATATGGTATAGGAACTTGTGAAAACGCATAACTTTGCCAGATTTCACATTGATATTGAATCACTGTACATATTTACAATTGGACTTTAATTACAATTAGTGACTAAAGGGAAAATTCTGATAAACATTTTATACTTACTGCCCAATTTCACAAGACTAGCCACACCTTGACTGACAAATCTTCGACCTTGATCAGCAGCCATGTTACCTAATCTGGATAATGAAAAATTAAGAATTATAATTCCAAGTTACGTGCGGTTTCAACCACAGAAATTATAATAAAGGTTTTACGATGGAATCGAATTCTTGAAAAAAAATAACGAGTGGTACGTGGATTGTGTTGTTTAACTAAAGAGTGAGCGTGACACTGAAGAGTTTCATTGCCTACGTATCAAACAATCAGTTGGTTCTTAAGCAAATGAGTTAGGGTATCGTGAAAACCGATTCAGCTGAAATACAGTATTCAATAATTACTGATACAAGTTGGAGAAACAGAAACAGGCCAGAAAAATACAGTACACACTATTGGATATATATTAAAATACATATATACGCGCGTATATTCTTTTCTGATTGGACAACTGCAGAATGTGACAATACTTGATCAGTTAGTCCTTCCGTTTACCATCGTTTGTAATCCATAATGAAATTTTGTATCAGTGAATGCTACCAGTAACTGAGGTTTTGCGGTTTGAACTGATCAAAGTTCAACTTGAACTTATTTTTAACTTCCATTTGATTCCCGTAAGTGTTTAATGTAGGCAGGATCTTTGCAAATATTGATAACTGACTATTATAATGCATATCAACATTAGTAAGTCTTACTTAAAAAAAATGTTTAAGTGACAGATATATAGCATACGAACTTTTTAAAACCACCGGCGATTTGATTTCGATCATCAGGTTCTGTTAGTTTACGTCCAGGATGTTGCGAGATTACAGCAGCAACAGAGACTGGTGAAGTTGTACATGAGTGCTGAAACTGTGAATGTTAGGACAAAAAAAAACAAAATAAAAGAATGAAATGTTCAATGATTTTATTACTTTATTTTCTTAAATATGATGTTGGTATGATGGAGAAGCTGTGAGTTTAGCAATCAGGTCTTACATTCAATCAAATCTGAATATAAAATCGATTACGTTTAGAAAGTCAGTCAGTCAGTTGCAACGTAGAACTTCGTACGTTTGTACATAAGTTCATGTTGCCATACCACATTAGCACAGAGACGAAAATGTCAAAACAAATCCCATAGTGATAGAGATAGCAGAGGTATTAATGGTAATGAAGAAGACTAGGGTTTGAAGATATTATTCAAGAAGTTTAATTCAGTGAGATAAGGTTAGAAAGACAAAGGCAGAGGTGCTGACGAATCCAGAAGATTACGATTTCAGAGAGCTCAAAGAATGGATGCACTTGCGCCATTGCAAACGATTTTGAGCCATGTCGTTCAAGGTCTCTAACCATTGGTGACCATCGTCTCACGGACCCCAACCAGGTAGTCTACATCTACCAACATGAATCAGTCCACTAGTCAGTGACTTCATAGATTTCTGCTATGTTTTGGTCTGGCCGCCCCTAGCTTTCTTCCAACCTACTCCTACACCACAAAACATAGCTCGTCGAGGCAGTCAGTGGTCAGGCAAAGGTAACACATGTCCCAACCACCTCAACTGATGAAGTTTCAATAGTTCATCTATTGATCTGCCATCCTTACCTAGTACTCGTTTCCTAACGATAGCATTGTTTACTCGGTTGTCCCACGATATACGAGCAATGCTTCTTAAACATCTATGATCGAATACTAGTAACCTACGAATATCTTCTACTCTCACTGGCCATGTTTCACAGCCATATAGGAGAACGGAGCGAACTGCTGCACAGTAAACTCGTCCTTTGATTAGAGAACGGATATCACGCCTACGCCATAAGTGACGCAGGTTGGCAAAAGCCAATCGAGCTTTCCGTATCCGCGCTGAGATTACGTCAGTCACCAGGCTATCAGCGCTGATGAGACTCCCAAGATAAGTGAAGCAGTCTGCACGCTCGACTACTTCACTCCCTATCACTAGTTCAGGTGCCGATGCAACCCAGTCTTGAAGCAACATTTTGCATTTCGAGGGTGAGAACCGCATCCCGAACATGCTCGCATTGTTGCTTATGGTAGTCAGAAGACTCTGCATTTTGTCCGCGTCTTCACCGAATAGAACTATGTCATCGGCATATTCTAGATCAGTAAGTGAGTTTCCGTGGTAGAAGGTCAACCCCTGAAAAATCTGACGAGCTTAATGTTAACTCTAAGAGGATGTCTACAACAAAGTTAAACAAGAATGGAGAGAGTGGACATCCCTGACGGACACCACTTGATGTAGAGAATTCCGATGACAGTTCGCCATATGCTCTCACCCGACCAGTGGTGTTCGAGTAGAGAGCTTGTATAAGGTTAATGTACTCCTTTGGTACACCTTTCAATGACAGACACTGCCACAGAACCTCACGATCCACTGAGTCAAATGCCGCTTTTAGGTCCAGGAAAACAACTATTGTCGGACGTCTAATTGTGTGTCTGTGTTCCAGTACCTGTCTTAGTGTGAAGATGTGGTCTATACAACCACGTCCAGGTCGAAAATCAGACTGGTTTTCTCTAGTCTGCTCTTCACGAGCTCTAGTTAGACGTCTAAGTATAATGGAGGCTAACAATTTAGAAACTATATTAATTAGGCTGATTCCCCTGTGATTGTCACAAGAAGACTTTTGTCCTTTCTTATAGATTGGGACAATTAGCGACTGAGACCAGTCAGATGGGATTACGTCCAGTTCCCAGATTCTAACTAAGATCTCGGTCAGTCTAACTGTTAAAAATGGACCACCATCCTTAAACATCTCAGGGGTAAGCCTATCAGGACTTGTTGCTCTACTTCGCTTCAGATTTCCTATAGCTTTCTCAACTTCATGTAGACTGGGAGGACGTAAATCGACTGGCCATTCAGGATGACTGGGGATCGTGGGCAACCGAAGTGTGGCACGAGGCCAGTTGAACTGATCCCTAAAAGGTTCTGCCCATCGGTCCAGTCTCCTGGATTGAGAATGGATACGTTTAGAAAACATTTTTTGTGAATATTTATTTTTGTACTGTACACTGCAATGGCATCTTTTTAAACTTGGGTCGGAATGGAACAAAAGCATTTACTTCGTGCTTTACAATACTTACACTTTTTACTGCAGAAGTTTATTCTCTTTTTGTACACCATACAGTCAACGTTTAATATTTTCTACTATCACTGATACCGCCCGTACTCTACCAGTCGTATGATTAATTTTATATCAATAAGATGATATTGTGTGGTAAATGGAACTGATATACATATGTGTCAAGTTATATGTTACATATGACAGACGAAACATTTTTCCTAACCAGTCAGCCCATTTGTCTTTCATTATTAATTCACCGAGTGCTTTCCTTAAATGGATCAGTTTTCATATGCAAACTAAACTAAACATAGATTAGGTAGTAGTTTCGAATAAGTATCATAGCTGACAACCCTATAACCTACTTTAATTTATAAATAAAAAACATATTATTGTTATCGGTCAGCAGAAACGGTTTATTAACGAATTACCTGACATCTGTACGTACGTACATAAGTTCATGTTGCCATACCACATTAGCACAGAGACGCAACTGTCAGTTCAGTCAGTAGAGATAGTAGAAGTATTAGCAGTAATGAAGAAGATTAGGGATCGAAGATATTATTCAAGAAGTATAATTCAGTGAGATAAATTTAGACAGAGATGATGAGGAATTCAGAAGTTTAGAATTCGAGGGAATACGAACATTGAATGCACCTGCGACATTGCAAACGATTTTGAGCCAATGTCGTTCAAGGTCTCTTACAATCGGATACTGTTGTCTCGCAGACCCCCACCAGGTAGTCTACACTTACCAACATGACTCGGTCCACTTGCAAGTGATTTCATGGATTTGTGCCATGTTTTGGTTCGGTCGCCCCTAGCTTTCTTCCAGCCTACTCCTATATCACATAATATCGCTCGTCGAGGCAGGCGATGGTTAGGCAAAAGTAACACATGTTCCAACCACCTCAACTGATGAAGTTTCGATACTTCATCTATTGATCTACCATCCTACCTAGTACTCGTTCCCTAACAACAGCATAGCTTTTTTTAACGGTATCAGATTAACACATAGTTTGCCATGCATAGCTAGAACAGCAATGTTAAGAAAGTTTGACAAATTACCTATTCGATACATTCGAAAATGCATATGTTACATAAAGGGTAATTGGTTTATTTCATAACGAGAATACGATAAAATCATTTGTTGAACAAAAAGTTACTTACTACTGGTGGTGGATTTCGCATTTGAACCTGCTGATTATTAGATACAATAATTAATAACACTAACTTTGTCTAATTTACAAAAAAAAAAAATTTGAACAGCTCAATAGCATTAATATATATACATAAATATGTCTGTTTTAACGAAACCGATGAAATTTTCTCGTTCAATTTACAAAAGCTGGATATGATTAAACGAAGGTTAATTTTATGATCTTGCACAACTAACTTCTAGTAGACATTAATTTCAAGTTCAAATATTTCATTTCGCATACTAATAAGCCAAGTGATAAAAAAATATCTACACATCTAACAACCCTTAAAATAGAATAGTAAATTTGATCAGCGAATAAAAAAACTAATTACAGAGTCCGATAGATCATCAAAATACTATTCAACATCATAGTATTATTTTGATGTAAACTCAAAATAGTTGAATTAACCGAATCAATACTTTGATTAGATAAGATTAATAATAAACAGTATCAGTGAAAAAATAAAAAATACTGACATTATAGGAATTACATTCTATTGGAAGAAATCATACTAAATCTAAACACATTTCAATCAATAACAACAATAGCAAAAATCAGCGTAAAAAACACAAACATACATTGGAATATTCAGTGGATTTTAGAATGTCCAAATCATCAGTCAGTTTATTGATTAATTTATTGTTATCAGTAGTAGTCTGAGTGATTGGTTCTGGTATAGAGACAGAAAATAATTGACTTGGCATAAATTGATAACGCCAAATTAGAAAATTCCTTGTCAATCGAAAACAAGTTAAATAAGCTGGTTGGAAGTCGGATGCATGAGAATCTAAAAAAAGTAGTAGTGATGTAAGATTATGAGTAGATTAGGGAATTCACACAAAAAGAAAAATCACTAACAACTTGAAACAATAAACTTTTGATATATAGGCAAAAGTAGTTTCTTGAATATACATTTTGCTAATTTGATCTTTCAGTTTGGTCAATGTAAAAACAATTTCTACATATATGAACATTGATTATATTATTCTGTGGTAACTAACTTGACAATGAAAAATTAGACTATGAGTAAATAAGTGCTTTTCAGATGCAAAATTAGTTATGAGGTTAGTTAAAACCGAGACAATTATTTTATGAGAAGAGTGAAATCATGCTTGATTATGTCCAATTTGATAGCAAACATGTAGCGTTTTCCTGTAAAACTTTGTCGTAGATATGCTTTTAGAGTTAACATTATCATTGTCTGACTCTTCAGTAGTGGACCTTTAACCAGGTAAATCTCTTACTGACCTAGAATATGCCGATGACTCAGTTCTATTTGGTGAAGACGCTGACAAAATGCAGTCTTCTGACTACCCTAAGCAACAATACAAGCATATTCGGGATGCGATCCTCCCCCTCGAAATACAGAATGTTGCTTCAGGATTGGCTTGCATCAGCACCTGAACTAGTGATAGGGAGTGAAGTGGTTGAGTGTGTCGACAGCTTCACTTACCTGGGGGGTCTCATCAGTGCTGATGGCTCGGTGAATGACGAAATCTCAGCTCGGATTGGCTTTTGCCAATTTACGTCATAGGCAATATATCCATTTGCTAACAAAACGACGAGTCTACTGCGCACCAGTTTGCTCTGTCCTACCATATGGATGCAAAACATGGCCAGTAAGAATCGAAGACATCCTTAGGTTATTAGTATTCTATTATAGATGTCTCCGAAGTATTGCTCGTATATCCTGGCACAACCGAGTAAGCAATGCTAAAGTTAGGAATCGAGTACTAGGTAAAGATGGTAGATTAATAGATGAAGTAATAAAACTTCATCAGTTGAGATGGTTGGTACATGTGTTACGAATGCCCGACCAACAAACCAACCACTATGGAATTTGAACTGACAGTGGCATATTTGTGCTACTGCGGTATGGCAACCTAAACTGATGTACGTACGTACGAAGTCCTACGTTGTAACTGACTGAAATGTGTAACGTTTACCATATAAAGATTGCATAGGCTTTACGAAAAACACTTATTTGAAAGGTAATACAACTGTTTGAATCTACAGATTGAAATGATAATTAAGTCAAACAAAAACCAATTGAGTATTTATATGATGATAATTGATGAATTGAAAAAAGAATTTTTCTGATTCCCGAAAGTGATATTCTGTATATATTAGCATTGAAAAGCCCAAATGAAAACAAACTATAAATAAAAAACAACAACTTACTGTAACCTTGAGCAGATAATAATAATGCTTTTAAATAAATTAAAAATTGTTGTCTTATCCAAGCGTCTAAGATAGTTTGACCTAAAGAAATAAAATAAAATTGATAATACAAATATACAGAAGGATAGAGAAATCTTGTAAAATATAAATGATCAGAAAGAAAAACAAATTAATACAGACAGGAAAATGAAATACCGGAGATAATAAGTCACATAATGGAGTGAATTCATCTCCTGCCATGAACTTACATACTTACGCCTGTCACCCCCAATAGACAATAGGCCGTCGACAAGTATTCTCCAGCCTACTCTGTCCTGGGTTTCACTTTCCAGTTCCTTCCAATTTTTGTTCTTTTTTTTCATGTCTTTCTCTATTTCTCGGCGTAATGTGTTCCTTGGCCTTCCTATTTTCCTTTTGCCTTGAGGGTTCCAAGTGAGGGATTGTCTTGTGACGCAGTTCGGTGCTTTTCGCAGTGTGTATCCTATCCACATCCACCGCTTCTTCCTGATTTCCTCCTCCTAAAGTAGGTTGTTACTGATCGTGTCTGGCCAACGAACCCGAAGTATTTTGCGTGGACAACTGTTAATGAATACTTGTATCTTCTGGATGATGGCTTTGGTAGTCCTCCAAGTTTCCGCTCCATACAGTAGAACTGTCTTGATATTTGTATTGAAAATCCTGATTTTGGTATTGATTGATATTTTTTGAAGTTCCAGACTCCTGCCATGAAACCTGAATATATTTTGCATAACTTAGAGATTCAATATATTACAGCACTGTTTGAGATTGACGTTACTTTGATGATTCTTTTTGAAGAGGTGGTTCAGGTGAAAAGAACTATCATTTTGGACGCATAGTTTTATATACCTGGTTTATAGTATGACAACTTGACCTGACCTACGTACGTACCAAGTTCTACGTTCTAGCTGACTAACTGTATCTATGAACGATACAATCCAGTATTCCAGAACAGAAGTAAGTGGAGTCGGCCTCGAACCATGAGATTCTAGTTGCAGTCGAATGCTTAGAACAATAGGTAACTGCTTCACATATATTAAATTGCTGATAATTAAAAGTTAATTACTTTCTTTATTGATTAGGCTACAGAGCACTCACCGTTTAGGACCTTCATATTTAATGAGACACAATAATTGAAATAAGCATTTTTGTTTTTAAATTGAATAACCGAAAGTTAGTTTTTTTTCATAGCTCATTTTCAGTGTCCTTTGACCGCAAGTTTGTTAGAAATTTTTTAGAAATAAATATTGTGAACCTCGTTGCTTCTTGAGAAACATGTTGATACTTGAATTACTAATCTAATTTTATTTTCATAATCCTTTCTTGAATACAATAGAAATCTATACACAGAAATTTTTTTTATCAGTGGAGTGTTTGTAAAACTGTTAAAATACTATTGATATCATGTACCGACTCAAATTACAGATGCACCGAAAACCAAGAAGCACTGTATGGCTATTTCGTTCTAGTAAGGGACTTCTTAGCAGTGCACATCCACAACCATACTAAGGATTAGACCTAGAGTCCTTGGTTTCGTGAGCAAACAATTAACCTCAAGACTACTGGGTCAGAATCTATTGATGTAAGTGTCTAACTTAGATCTCATATGTGTCACATTTGGATTCAATCGCTAACAGCTTCTAATTAGAATTCTAGCGTTGTCTACTAACAATAAGTTATTGTGAATACATGATAAATATCAGTACAGAGGTTTATAGAGATTATTAAATGCTGTAGTGAACATGAAGTGACAATTATTTTTAATTTTCGAATTAAAAAATATTCAACCGACCATTAATGTCTTCTAAGATCGAAGTTTATTGTTCATTGCATGATTTCAATGAGTTCATGAGTGAGCGAGAATGAGAAACAGGGTTGTGGATGTATATAACGGAAGAGCCACATACTAGGATAGAAGAACTATTCAGTGTTTCTTGTTGTTGCATTAGTTGTGTGAATCGACTGAGTGTATTTGTTCGTCTTGGCCTAGCAGAGAATGCCTAACGCCATTGGAATCGATCTTGGCACAACATATTCGGTTGCCCTAATCTGTGGATATCTAACTTAGGACGGTTAGCTATATCAACAAGAAAGTTTACCGACGTAAAAATGATTAGTTTTCTTCATGTTCAGTGATTTTTTCCTCATGAACTAACACAATTTCAAGAATTATTGAAAACCAAATGGAATTGTTTGACTGTTTTGTTTTAATCTAGAGAGCCTGAGTCAGAGACATTCAAAATTTCCCATAAAGTTAACTGTGAGGTTATCAAATCTATCTAATCTGAGATCGTAGATGCAGACTCCTGTCAAGTTGAAAATGAAACAAATTATTTGTTTAGTGTCCTTGAAATTTCCAGGTAATATTTTTTAACGAGAATCACATTTAAACTTGACCTTTTATATACACTATAACTAAATATTTGCTAGATTATTCTAATCATTCGTTTTGATTTCATTTTGTCACATTAACAACTGAAATCGATAACTTTGGTGCTTTGCTGTGGACATAATCAGTCTAATTAAGTATTGTCAATAAAAAGTATAATTAATTCTAAGAAAAAAACTAGCACAGAGTGCAAAGAATCTGGAAGACGATGGATTGAATATGACTATTCTGTACAAAAAGATCAGGTTTCGAATGTCGAATTTGTATAATTTCAGTTGTGAGCGAATTTCCTGACCCAAGCCTTTTATGAGATGGTTCCCTTAAATTTGCAGATAGTTTTAAACAACTCTCGTAGTAACATGTAACCTGAGGTGGTCATATATTCGACTATTCAGCTGTTGATCAGTTTTCATCTTCCTTTAGATAGCCATACAGAATAGTGCTCAGATATTCGTTTACCAAGGGCACGTTTTGTGCCGTTAATATGACTTGCTCCATGAATTCCAGTAAATAAGTAATTTATGAGAAAGATGTTTTATTCAGCAGAGATCCGAATTATTTTCTCTAACAATTCGAAGAAAGGTCAAGGATGATGCCGTTTCAATACGTATTTATCACTTTTATTAATGGAACACATTGGTCTCTTTGTGTACCAAAGAGATATATTCAACCGTTTAACTCAGTGAACTTTCAACAGATTACAGTTCATAAAGTAACGCTAAAATTGAATACAGGCTAACTCAAGCTCCTATTTTAATAACAAAGTGTTGTTTGTTTTAATGAGAAACAATCAATGACATGGATCGTGTATTAGTAAAGATGCATTAATAAGTTGTTTTACTCCTTAATTTTAAGTTTCAACATGTTTTCAAAATTTTTATAATGAAAATAGTTTTTTTTTTCATCAACCTATATCAGTAATCTTAAAATTACGTTAACTCAATGGCTATTTATTTTGTTAATTTTAATCTCATTGCTATTATTGAAATACGCAGCATTGTGAACAAGCATCGAGAGACATACCCTAAAAAATTAATATAATGTGATGGCTTGTTAATCATGCTTCAATAACTGATAGATTTATTTCTTCAGGAGCATATAAATATACAATATTACCAACGTTATTTTATTATACGAATTATACCTATATATTATTCGACGTGTAGTCTGTTATATATCTACAAAATACATTTTATTATTATTATTATTATTATTATTATTATTATTATTAATATAGACAGGCAATCGTTGTTCATATTGTTCATAATTATGCCAGTGTTTTTAACATGGATAATAATAATAATTCGTAATTTCAATTAGACAATTAATGAATAGAAAGTCAGACGAACATTTAAATGAACGCTTTCAACTCAACTAATATATTTGATCTGAAAGGTAGCAACTTCTGATATTCGGTTAAAAGAAACACATTCAGTCGATTCATGAAAGAAGCATAATAAAAGTTACAACAAAACGGAAGATTTAATATGTACTAACAATTTAATGATTAATCTTCTACAGACAGAAGGTATATTTGAATGGAAATATTTAATAAGATTGTAGATAGTAACTAAAAGCAAGCAACAGTGTGTGGTCTCTAACCACTGATATGCTTTTAGACACTTGAGAGGGTGGATTATGTTGTTCTTTACACTGTATGAGAGAAGTGGAGTAAACTATCCCATCTGATTCATGTACGAGAATTTTGAAAACATTATACGTCTATAGTATCATCAGCTAAAAAGAATAGCTATTCAATTTAGATCAGCGCTTAATTAAAAAAAGTTTACCACATAATTTCAAAACCTCAAATTATCAACCATAATTTTATATGCACGAGAATATGAGTTTAATGTACAGGAGATGATAACATGTGTTATACTCATTGTACATTTAAACACATAATTATTAGCACAAAGAGACACCAGAATATTTATGTGCCGTAAAACTTATTGGATTTGTGTGTGAGCCAGGATAATGCGCCGGTTCACAAACCGAAACCGGTGATTTCTTGTGGAAGGCTACACCCCGTAACAAGAATAGAAAATCTAAGATAGAAGACAGAACGATAGACTGTAGAAAGGAATTCGTGTGCTGCTGAAGGTGTGGAGACAACCGAATATTTCCGGATCCCCTAGACTATGTAGGCAAATTTTTTTTACAAAATCTTTGGATTAACATACTGTGATGTAGTCAGAAGTATGTAGTGTTTTTGAACTCTTTAACCGACCTGCTTAAGGTGGAGAACGTCAATGAACACGTGTTGCAGATCAATTGAGGTAGTTCAGATCAACAAACACAATTACCATATAAAGAAAACGTAAAACAAAAAATTTCTACTGATAACAAGAAATCCTTACTTGGAAATCTCAGTAAAACTGTTTTTTGAATTAATGTAAGCTGTTCTAAAGTGTCTGCATCCAACTGGTCTGATTCATTACAGCTAGATGATATTACTGATCTACCTTTCTTGGAAGATAATTGTTGATAATAGTCTATTTTTGCATCATACCACATATTAACAGTCATTATCAAATGATCAATAAACAGTCTATCAGTACGAGTTAGTTGCAATGCACGAGTTAACGGGACAGGCATAGAACGTGGATCGACAGGAGACTTATTTGTAATATTTTCTGAATTTATTTGTATGATTGGTTGTGATCTTTTCGGCTGAAATAGAAATAAAAGAGAATAACACAAATATAGTATTAGAACAACACATGTTTATATAATAAAATATCGAAAATTTAAGCGATACTGTCATGCAAAGCTGACAATGAAATAAAAAAGTGAGCATAAAATATTAGCGATTCGTTGAACAAAGAGCTCAGGACGTGTTCATCTTGAAATTAGAGGGATCCTGGGTAAAATTAAAAATGATAAATGCATTTTTTTTCCGGTGATTACGGAGCACGGTAATGTCTATCAGATGTGTGATGACTTTTATCAATTATATAACTGGAAATAATACTGTGAGGACTGTCATTTTCAAAATGAAACATTAACATGAAGATTTTCAGAAAACTCGTTATATTCTGGACACGATAAAGCGAAAAAAATGCAATTCTATGTCAGGAAAATATTAAAGAAAATATATAAGTATTACTTAAATAGTAATTGGTGTTGTGACTATCCTGGTTTTACTTTATGGCTGTGAAACATGGCCGTTAAGAGTAGAAGATATTCGTAGGTTACTGGTTTTCGATCAAAGCTGTCTTCGAAGCATTGCTCGTATATCGTGGGACAACCGGGTGAGCAACGCTGTCATTAGGAAACGGGTGCTAGGTACGAATGGCAGATCAATCGATGAAGCGCTGAAACTTCATCAGTTGAGGTGGTTGGGACATGTGTTGCGTATGCCTAACCACCGACTGCCTCGACGAGCTATGTTTTGTGGTGTAGGAGTAGGTTGGAAGAAAGTTAGGGGCGGCCAGACCAAAACATGGCAGCAATCCACGAAGTCATTGAGTAGTGGACTGAGTCATGTTCGTAGTTGTCGACTACTTGGTTGGGGTCCGCGAGATGATAATAATCGATGGTTAGAGACCTTGAACGACGTGGCTCAAAATCGTTCGCAATGGCGCCGGTGCATTTATTCTTTGTGTCCTCTCAAATCCTAATCTTCTGGATTCTTCAACACCTCTAGTTTTGACTTTCTAAACTTTTCTCATTTAATCATACTTCATGAATAATATCTTCTCATCCTAACCTCTCCGATTACTTCTAATACCTTTACTACCTCTTCTACTATTGGATTTGAATTGACAATTACATCTCTGTGCTGATGTGGTATGGCGACATGAACTGACGTACTTAAGTACGAAGTTCCACGTTGCAACTGACTGACTGACTGACTGGTGAATGAGTGTTTAAATCGCCTATCATAGGTTGAAAACATTTGATTTCAACTTTATTAGAACAGACACCACATGAATCTATCAAAACCCGATTACTTACCACAGAAAATGGTCGTGAAGAATTTGTTACTCTGAATCCTGTGTTTTGAGTATTCTTGTCACTATCGACATTATTCCAATATGAAGTCTTTATTGAATTATCAGACAGTGAAACATTCGATGTAGGATCAGTTTCTATTCTAGAAGCCGAAGATTTTTGAAATACACCGGTTAGTTCAGACAAATATGGGAAGCAATCTTCAGGAATATCCTTAACAGGCGATAAGGATAATACAAAAACTTCGGTTAACTGTTTGTTTGATCGTAATAAAGGATTGGTTGCACCAGCTACAAAACCACGTACCGATCGATCGGTTAAAGTCAGACTCTGATTTCCAGATGTTGGTAAATTAATACTTGAAGGACCAGTACGTCCTAGTAGAACATCCATCAAACCAAGGGGAATATACATAGGCGCTAAATAAGACTGTAGAAAAAACAACAGATCAAATTCGCTGAATATTCTATGCAATATATTATAAATTGAATATGTAACAAAAAGTATGCTGGACATTAGGTGACAAAACGAACAATAAGTAAGTGATCTTATGTTTTATACAAGTAAAATCTCAAAAAGTTTAGGTAAGGATTGTAAAGCTTTGAGGTCAAAGATTATGGCACTGTTGTATCTGGTAACCGATATGAATTATTTCAGACAACTTGGGACGAAAGTAGTAAGATGTTTAAAGTCGTTGATATGTATTGGCAGCTCGCATGCGACTTTCAACTATTATGCCAAAGGTTTAGACGGCATCCCACTCAATTTATTTGGGTACTAGAACAGTCTCATTAGCCATCACAAAAAAACCGTGTTTTAGAGACGTACTGTGCAGTAAATGAGTGATAGTATAAATGAAGAGTTAGCGATATAATCTATGGGGATAATATCATACCAAATAAACGTTGTTTGAACAATGAGTACCGTCATATTCCACAAATTGCACAAAACTAATGGCTAACTTATGAGAAATAAATCGGTTTCTTTCGTAGAAAACAATGAACTTCACTTTTAAAAGAATGTTTATTACTACACAAAACAGGTTTATAAAGAAAGAGAAGATCAAAGTAGTGATTAACATTAATAGTTTGTAAAAATCCAAAGGGGTGCTAAGATCATGAAAGAGTGAGGGATTAAACATGGTCTTAACACCTCTTTGGATATTTAAAAAATTATTACTGCTAGTTATTAATTCCATCTTCTTTCGCTTCATAAAGTAGACTAACTTTGACTAATATCCCATAGATTTTAACTTCGTATTGCTTTTAAAAATCCATTTAGTTTGGAATTTTCATTTTCAATGTATACAACTACTGACTAAGTAGAACTGATTTAGTGAGGTAGAAGAAAACTTCTAATGATCTAAAACTTCAAAATATCGCCATCAGATAAAAGTCAATAGAACCAATAAGGAGAAATGGATTAAAATCTTAAAGTGTCGTAACTTAAAATACAATTCAGTTGATTAGAGGTGTTCGCTTATTATCTAAATTTAATACTTGGACAATTATGTCCCAGAATATATATCACAATGAATGTTTCTAAATTCACAGAATGAGTAAAAACATTTTATGAGGCTCCAGATGAGCATTATGCATCGTGATCTGATACCTCAGTGTTACGAGATTACTTGGTATAATTAAGCAAGTTTAGAAGAGATCTTTTAAAAATTGAATCTCAAAAATTGCACTTTTTTTGCCAAAATCGCTTTCGTTCATACTATTTTATCTTTGGTGTTGTTTGTGGTTAGTTCAAAATTAAACAATGCAAAACATGCACCATGGAAAGGGATTTTAAGATATTTTAAACAAAAATAATTACTATTTAATTGTACTAACAAAATAAGTTACTATGGAAATTAGGTGACTTGAATACGGTACAAATGATTAAAAAAAACAATTCAAGCATTAATCTAAAATTAGAGAAGAGAATAAAAGACATAGAAGTGAATAATAACGTAAAACTCACTTTAGTAAATACAGACAACGGAAATCCCCAGTTATCTGTAGGAAATGGTGAATAAATTGAAAATCGTGACATTGAATTATTAGTTACTTTCTCTTGAACATTGTTGGTTTGACATTGTTTATCTGACTCAATCATTATAGGTTGCTGTAATTCTGTATGTAATGTATCACGTAGAGATGACATATAAGTTCCTTGTGATTCAATGTTCGAAGTAGACAAACGTTCTCTACTGACTAAAATCGAAAATACAATGAATAATTGTAAAATGCTGTCTGGTAGATAAAAGAGAGAGTTATCAATCTATTGTGGTATGAGGTTTCCGCAAATAGTTTTCTACTTTAGTGAACCTTTGCAAGTAAATTAGAGCTGTATAAGCTTTCAGGTGATGCAGAGCAAAGAAATTAGCAGTCAGTAATTAGCAATATAGAACCCCGTATACAAGTGCATTATTTTAAGTCACCAAATCTTATCAGCATAGAGAGCTGCAATTATCATGACAAATGCCAAAATAACAGATATTGTAACATTATGAGAAACAGTAATATAATTCCAGAAGGAATGAGTTCGCAGAATAAGAAAGTAATGTGACTTAACATTCAAGTGTTCAAAAAAGACAAGAAATGAACGTATTTGTTTCATTGCAACTGATTCTTAACTATACCATGTCACCAACTTTTGGTTACGGTTATCACGCACACCAAGACCTGATAATCTGCACCCACCGGGAAGAGAATGGGTAGGAATTACGGAAAGTACAAATTTCCTCTTACGGAAATAACATGACTTATCCTATGTAAGCGATGAGTATTATTTTCTTTGTTTACGTAGGAAAGTACTACGCGGTTGATATTATTTCTAACACACGATATGAAATGAATTCTGAAAACAATTCGTTAATATCGGTATAAGTACCTAGGTGCTAACGATAACACTGTGTATGTAACTGTGCCACAAGTGTAGCATGGTCGGTGATAATATTATTTTAAATAATAATAGTAATAATATTGACCCATTGCATAAAAATGAGAACTTTTATAAAAAAACGACTAGTAGAATATCGTCCGTCATATGATAAGGCAATAACACAAACCTGAGTCCTTGGGATCAATATATGAATTCAGATGATTATTTTCTTCCTTTGAGATTAAAATGAACACATAATATACGGATCAATTATTATTACTGTGAAATAGTTAACCACAAAAAACAATGAAAGATATTTAAAAATGATTATTTGGATGTCTATTTTCTGTGGTTAAACAACAGTGACTACTACTACACATGGATAGAATAGATACTGTGGGAGGGGGGGGAAGTCAACAATGCTCTCATTCTGATCCATTATTGTTTAGGAATATCGAAACTAAGAGTACATTATCGAAGAGTATAAAATAAACAGTAATTTTGTAATGAGTATCCTTGATTCATACATAAACTACTTGGACCAAGGCAGCAAACAGGTTACATCGCAAACAACTGTGGTTTCTTTTAGTAGAATATATTCAACTTAAGATGACTCGTTGACAAAACAACACATATGTATGAATTGACTTTTACAAGAGAGATGACTGCTACGTACTCACACAATAATCAGGATGTGAGAGACATGAATAGAGAAGCCAGTGAGCAGTAGTTGTCTCTTATTCTTCGCCTAGTAATCTTCAAGGGTGTAGAATTTAAGAATTCGTAAAAGCATAAACTCATAGTATATATGTATAGATTTGAAAATATTTTGCAACTTATCAACCATCGACTAACCAATACATTATTTAGTAAATATTTCTTTGTATACAAGACTTCAAACAACTTAATGTAAAATGAATAGTTTTATTCAATAAGTCTGAGAAACAGTTATGTACCCTGTAACTGGCACGGTGCAGTCAGTCAGTCAGACTTCGTACGTACGTATATCAGTTAATGCTGCCATACCAAATTAGAAAAGAGACGCAATTGTCAATAGAAATTCAGCAGCAGCAAAGGTAGCAGAGGTATTGGCAGTAGATGGAGAGGTTAGAATTACAAGACATTCTTCAAGAAGTAGAATCTAGAGAAATAGACTTAAACAGGTAGCGATTAAGTAACGAAGAATTAAAAAGTTTAGGATCTGAGAGAACAGAAAGAATGAATGAAAAGGCGCCATTGGAAACGCTTTTGAACCATGTCATTCAGGGTCTCTAACCATCAATTACTAACACCTCGTACACCACAAAGAGGTAGTCGCCACCAAATGACATGGCTCAGTCAACTAGTCAGTGACTTCGTGGATTTCTGCCTGCTTGAAACTAATACGAGTGCACCTTAGTCGATAAACTCGAACGAGACAATGAACCAGCTTCCAGGTAGGCCACCCTGATCTGCTGACTAATGAAAAGTTTTGATATAGCGCAGAAAGTATATTCTACAAACCACCCAGCAAACACAATGCAATGCAAGCACACAAATCTCGTTTATTTATACATCATTGAAACATCCTCGGGACAGTCACAAAAATAGCACACTAAAATACACAGCAGCCAATCACAGCCAAGGATTTTCCTAGTGGGAAATGAAATCTCAAGGTCAACTGATCAGCCCATGCTCGCAAAAGTGAAATCGGAAATAAGGCATTCATCAAGCGAGTTCTGGGGATCTGACGTCCACAACGCTCCTCCCCTTTTTAATAGCGTGCGCTCATTGGGTCGACTTACATCTTGACCAAATAAGAAAGAGCATCAACGTCTGTGACATTGACAGTCCAGATGACCAATAAGAGGCAACATTGAAGTATTTGACTTTGATAGTTAGAACGATCATAATTTCGACCAATAGAAATCGACCAATAGGATTGTACTTCTAAAAATAGTATTCTTAGGATATTTGGTGAATATCCTAACAGATCTGGAGCTAGCCGTTTGCGTATCTGATTTCGATGGCGTGACCACCTTTCGCCTCCTACCTCTACTTCGTACATAACTCGCCCAACTCTTCTGACCACTCGCGCTTCTGCCCAAGGACCATGGTTCATTCTGTAGTCACGGGCAAACACAGGGCATCCCACTTTCGGGGAGCGTAAGTGTTTAATGGCTAGCAGTTGACAGAAAGTTCGGAATTGGGAAGAGGTAAATTGAGAACCATTGTCAAATACGATCACATCTGGTATGCTATTTCGCCAGAAAATCTCATGTATCCTGGACCAAGGTTGATTAGGTTTGGGCCATGAAACCGGCAGAACTTTGGCATTCATTTTGGCCGCCTGTTGACACCGTATGCATTGTTCAACTAACGTCGACTTCGCTGGTCCAATCAATGGAACTATTTATTTAATTGTGGTCGACGCCTTCTCAAAATGGCCAGAAATCAGCCCCGTAATGCCGCCCACGACAACTAAGACAATACAGCTCCTAACTGAGATTTTCTGGCAAAATAGCATACCAGATGTGATCGTATTTGACAATGGCTCAGTCCACTTGTCAGTGACTTCATGGATTTCTGCCATGTTTTGGTCTAGCCGCCCCTCCCTCTCATCCAAACTGTTACTACACCGCAAAATATAGCTCGTCGAGGCAGTCGGTGGTTAGGCATACGCAACACATGTCCCAACCACCTCAATTGATGAAGTTTCACCACTTCATCTATTGATCTGCCATCCTTACCTAGCACCCGTTTCCTAATAACGGCATTGCTCACTCGGTTGTCCTACGATACTCGAGCAATGGCTTCGAGGACACCTATGATCGAAAACCAGCAACCTAAGAATATCTTCTACTCTGACTGGCGATGTTTCACAGCCCTAAATAGGACGGAACGAACTGCTGCACAGTAAACTCGATCTTTGGTTACCAAACAGATATCTCGCCTACGCTATAGGTTATGCAAGTTAGCAATAGCCAATAGAGCTTTTTTCATCCATGCTGAGATTTCGTCAGTCACCAGGCCATCGGCACTGGTGAGACTCCAAAGATAAGTGAAGCGGTCTACACGCTCGACTACTTCACTCCCTGTCACTAGTTGAGGTGCCGATGCAACCCAGTCCTAAAGCAACATTTCGCATTTCGAGGGGGGAAACCGCATCCCGAATGTGCTTGCATTGTTGCTTAGGGTAGTCAGAAGATTGCATTTTGTCAGCGTCTTCACCAAATAGGACTATGTCATCGGCATATTCTAAGTCAGCAAGCGTGGCTCCTGGTAGAAAATAGACTCCTGAAAAGTCAGACGGGGATAATTTTATATCTAGCAGCATGTCTGTGACAAAATTAAACAAGGATGGGGAAATTGGACATCCCTGACGGACACCACTTGAAGCAAATAATTGCGATGACAGTTCGACATAAGCTCTCACCCGACCAGTAGTTTTGGAGCAGAGAGCTTGTATAAGGTTAATGTACTTCTTTGGTACACCTTTAAATGACAGACACTGCCAAATTCTACCTATGATCTCAGTCAATTTAACTGCTAAAACTAGACCATCATCCTTAAAAATTTCAGGTGTCAATCTACCACGACTCGCTGCTCTCACTCGTTTTAGGATTCCTACAGCTTGGTGCATTGATAATTAAAACATAAACGCTACAGAAAATACGCAAAACCTAGTCACTTCGGTGCAACAATGAGTCTTTGTTAAAACTTTATACCAAAAAGTAATTTTAAATGATAAGTGGACAAATTTTTAGAACAATGACAATATTAAACGCTATAATTTTCAATTGAGAATTATGACAAATGAAGAAGGGTTTTAGACAAACGGGGAAAAGTTCAATTTATTTGGAGTTCAATTTGTATATTGCTCTGACGCCTGTCCACTGACCTTAATTAATGATTCTTCGAATGAATGTCGGTAGAAATTAGAGCTATTTGTACTGGGATCATCACTGATATTGGACCAACAGCTAGTTTCTGAAATCCATGAAGGATCAATCACGGAACATTGTGACATACCAATACGTAACATTTCTGTTGAAATATTCCATAACGAAAATATTAATTCAAGGGATGTAATAGCCCATACATTGATGATAAAATTAACATTGAAAAGCAAAATGTTAGATATTTCAGACAAAATTAATCAATATCTACACATAATATTTATCTAAACTTCCAAAATGTGTAATTATGATGGGATAAGTAATGGCTTTCCCATACGCAAGTATTATAATGTTCTACGATGAAAATGAGCAAGGAAGAAACGTTATAACCCTGTTCATTACAATTTCTTTTGGTTTAAAATAAGTTAATAACATATGCACTATAGATTTTTTCATGGTTCCTTCGAAGTCTTCTTTAGCTAAAAAAGACTGCATAACTTACTTTTATATGTACGTTGAATGGGGAGGATAGGGTAATGTGTTTGTGTCATTACTAAAGTGTTAACTTTTTAACTCAGAGCATAGATCAGATCCTTTTTTCTGGATTTATACATGAGTTTTCTGTTGACACTATCTTCTAACGTTTTTACACTTTTAAATAAATTTTTATTAGAAACTGCATAGAAGACAAAAATCAATACAAGAAATAATAATAATCATTATTATAATAAATTGATCACCTGGATACAAACTGAGTAAAGTTAATATCCAATTTGAAACAGTTCCGCCAGAATCACCCGTAAATAGAATACGTCTTTCCAATAAAAGCAATTTGAATAGACATAATGCGTCACGTTTGTACACGCGAATAAAATTAGATGCACTTAGATTATAAAATAGAGCATCTGTGGAGAAGTTGAAATAGAAACAAAGAAAGTAGGATAGTGTCAATGAGATTATGCAATAACAACGCAGCAGAAATTAACTTATATGCTACAACCTTGAGAAAGGTAGTTACAACAGACAAGGGAAGAATTGATAAATAAAAACTTTTTCGAAAACGTACTACAACTTGAGAATTATTGAAATATTCACTGAAATATCAGCCCAGGTTGATCAGCATACTCGCAAATAGTAATTTATGGGAAATTGTTCCAGCTACAGGTCGATAGGAGTTACTAGAAAAATGTTTTATTGATTAGCATCAAATTCGAATTAGAGCTGTAGAGATGTTTAAAATTCTAAGAAAGATGTTTAACTCAGCGAAGCTCCAAATTATTTTATCTGGCAAGAATCACATTCAGGTGAGTGTCAAGAATAAACTACCGCCTAGTGCCACTGCAATATGCCCTTATCACTTGCACTTATGGAACAGGTTATATTGGCCACATAATAAAGCATGTACTTATAGTGAAGTTTTGTTCCTGGTAAATGGATATCTCAACACTATTCTGAGAATCGATCAACGACTAAATACATTGCTACCTCTGTTTACATGTCACCAAGAGAATTGTCGTTTAAAATCATCTAAAAACTTAGAAGAATTGGTTTGAATGTTTGGACAGGTTGTTGTAAAACGATTCACCATTTCATGCTCGACGACTGTGTAGGAAAAGGTCATTATAAATTCACTTTTGTTCATGATCTTAGAACTCCCCTTTGTTTTACAAACAGTAGGTGCTACATTTTACTTCCTTCCTCTACTCTTTAAGATAAACAGTAGTTTTGTGCATTTATTGCATAAATTATTATTTCTGATTAATCCTGAAACTATTACATAACTTTTTGACAGCTTTTGATTACTTTGCTGAACACCGATTTTACTTAATACTTTAAAACTCTCGATAACTCCAATTAGTTCAAAATAATACTCTTCCATTTGTATTCAATACTTGAAATGTTTTGATAATTTTTGATTACTAAATTAAATTAAACAGTATCGCTTCATTTCTGCAGATTTTTACATCCCACACGTGAATAAGTTGGGTAACTTTGTAACACACCGCGACTTTATTTTAGACTACTACATGATTTTAATATCCACATTAGGAAGAAACGTGCATCCTAGGTCATACTGCTCGCCACCATGTATCTATACTAATAATGCTTGTGACTTAACAGCAATATCGAGACAGTTCGCATAGGATTCAAGTATGTTAAAGTGACTGATCAATTGCAGTCCTAAACTGTAAAACTTGGTACTTATGTAGATTATTTCAAGCTACCATACCACATTAGCACAGAGAGATCGAATTCTCAATCCAAATCCCGTGGTAGCAGAGGTAGCAGAAGAGTTAGGAGTAATGGAGATTACTGATCGAAGATATAAATCGAGAAGTGCAATCCAGCGAAATAAATTGAAAAGAGAATGAAAGTCATGGGGAATTCTGAAGATTGGAACTTGATAGAAGACGAAGAATGGATAGATCTGCACCACTGCAAACGATTTTGAGCCATGTTAGTCAGTCTCTAATCACCAGTTACAATTGTCTCGCGGACCCTAACAAAGTAGTATATATCTACTAACATAGCTCAGTCAAACTATCGATGATTTCACGGAATGGTGCCATGGTTTGGCTGCTTCCTAACCAACCCTACTCGTACACCAAACATCGCTCGTCAAGGTAGTCAGTGGTTGGGCATGCGTAACACATGCCTAACCACCTCAACTGATGAAGTTTCACTACTTCATCAACTGACTTACCTTTCTTACCTAGTACCCGTTTCCTAACCCCAGAAACCTGATGGTCAAAAAGCTATTCTTAAGTTTTATGAACCATTTATGATAACGTTTCTAAAATTTGCCACTAAAGAAACTAATTAGCTAAAAATTAAACACATACCTTGGTAAGAAGCATAATCATTAAGAATATTGTCTACAAGATGACTTAATTGTTCGTACGAGTTCTGAAGACTTTCTGGAGTGAAACCCTTGCTTTTGAACAGATTATCAATTATTGTTGTAAGATGATGGGCAATGAAACTAAAAAGTGGCTAAAGAAAAGGCAGACAAGAGAAAATCTTTTCAAATTAACAAATTACGAACGGTAATGTACTGTAATTGCATATGTTCCTGGACGATACTTACGGTTATAGCGAACCAACATTAACCAAGTCATTTTTATTTCCAGTAGAGTGACGTGAGATGTTACATAATGCACATATTAACTTGAAGTGGGATAATCTCCTTTAAGACCATGAGGTCTCGTACATAGCACCTAGAATCAAGTTCTTCATATGTGAAGAATTTAATGACTCAGCGTATCATTTTCGATACATATGTCTTGGTGGGAAGCGTCTAACATGTTAGCCCACACCAACAAAGTTATTTATTTACATAACATCAGGATGAATAGAGGCGATTCTTGTAAGCGAAAACTGTATCAGCAAAACAAATTGGAAAGACAGATTTGGAGGGAATCGGACGTGACAAAACGAGATGACTCAAAAGATCAAGGAACAGAATTGTTTCCTTTACGAATAACGACCTAAATTTTTTAGTGCTCTTATACTACGAGTTAAGTGATTTAAAGTCCCCAAAAATTATAACTGGTGATAAATAGAAAAGGTGTAAATACACACTAAACCAGTATCAAGCAGACAATCGCAATTAAATCACATCACTCTAACAAACAATTACTGTCTGCACTAAAATAGGTGAAATCACAAAAGAGTATATCATAAGATGAACTGCGTATGGAAAAATTAACTAAATCTTTTCAAATAAGCTAAAAGAGAATTAGAAGACTCAGAGATGAGTCGGTAGCTTAAACTAGTGATTATTTTGAGCCCACTATGTTTATCTCACTTCCCTTATGAACGATTTCTCGCTAACTTGATTTTAAGAAAACGGAACTAAGCGAAAATACGTGATCCCGTGATATATATATATATATATATATATATATATATTGCCTTCGAAATCGATTTAAATTCACCTCACCAAGATATTGAATCCAAAAGATTGATCATCTAAGATTTTTAAATTCGACAGCCAATTTTTAAGTGTACATAACACTAAATGAGTAAGGAAATCGGTTTTTGAAGTAGCGTAAAACGTAGTTATGGTGAGGATACACACTCGCTAATTATTAGTTTCTGAGTCAGGAGCGTTAAGAAAAGAGCTTTACTGAAAACTTTTTAGTTCATATAAGATACCAAATGAGTGATTTTAACACCAAGCTTGGCAAGCTATGCCAACCACAAAGGCATGTATTTTTTGCATCCCTCCATAGTGAATAGATGCTTGCGGTAATTTTGTGCATTGATAAGCATTTTCATTCAAAAAATATTAAACCTAGGGAATAACTCAAATGAAAACGAGCATGGTCAATCAAACTGTGATCGTAGACTACTACTATTATCAACCACCATTAGATAAATCTGCTACAGTAATAGCAGTCAGAATACAGGAAACAAGGAGTGTAATTATCGTAACTAAATAAAATATACTTCTCTTTGGTTTTCAAGATCGTATTTAGATGTAAGCTAACAACATACACTTAAATGGTGGCCATATTTGTCTAAAATGATTAAAAATGAAACCACAAAAAAAAGATTTGCGTACTACTTACAAATCTGGATAGTACAACCAAGCTTTTCTGTACAGTGTTTCGAGTAATTTCAGGATTAGGTTGCACATATGACTAAAAATAGAAGATGGTAAAATTAAAATGTGCGAAATTCCCATTTCTTGATGATAATGATAACTAGATAATTAGTACAGATATATCTACTGAAAGCAATGGGGTGATCTTGACAATACCATCGCAATGAATGTTATCAAAGCTTACTCCTAAGGTGTATTGTTTAACAATCGTCAATTAGTTCCCAGATTTTGGAGTACAAAGAGGATTAACATAAAAAGTTACGACTAGACCAGTTTTTTTAACCTAACATTTTCTAGTGCACACTAAATAAATAAGTACTAAATACCTACTGACTGGATAAGTCACTGATAATTTAGAAGGGAAAAAGATAGACAAGAACAACCGGTCCCGATATATTATTCACTTGTAAATAATAAAGGCGATTCAGGATTAGTTCGAAATATCTCGACCTCTAAGACGTAGGACAATAAAACTGGTTAATAATCTAACCAATCGTTCGTATATAATACTGTGACATTTCCTTATTTTATTTAGTTGTTTATTTATAAATATTGGTACAAGTGGGCACCACAAAAATACGCCCCCTGCAACAAAGAGATTGTGAATAGAAGGTTGAGTGTAGTCGAACACAACAACTAGAAAAATAAGTAAAAAGATAAGAAAATAATAGGAGAAGTTTACCTTAAACAAATACAGGAAAGGATCCTCGCAGTTGTAATTACTCTTACTGATATGAAGAAATTAAAAGAAAATTGCAGGAGACCGCCACAGGTTACTATTCCGCGACATCTCTAGTAATGCCTTGAGCCACTCTAGAACCCCGACTACGGAGTCCTGAACAGTATACAGCTTACTGTTATGCCACGAGTGAGTTACCTACGCTTTTCCGGCAATTCGCATCTTCGGTGAGTACTGGACGATATGGAACTCGCTGAGACGACATTTACCGTACATGTCGGTATTTCGAAATTAAGACACTAACTAAATACTCATCACTGTGCCCGAACAAACGTTTCAGAACCTCCACATTACTAACACAAACTCACGGATATATCTTTAATTGATTTTATAAGATTCAGCTTTACAAGTGTGGTGCTGAGAGAAACATGTGTAAAGCATTTTAGCTTAATAGTAGAAATAATCCCAAAGAAATTTCACGGCTATAAAAACTCAGTTTATGTACAAGGCAGACGAGTCTATCCATAAAGGTGTGCAGATAGCTCAGTCAGTCAGTCAGTTGCAACGTAGAACTTCGTACGTAAGTACATCAGTTCATGTCGCCATACCACATCAGCACAGAGATATAATTGTCAATTCAAATCCAATAGTAGAAGAGGTAGTAAAGGTATTAGAAGTAATCGGAGAGGTTAGGATTAGAAGATATTATTCACGAAGTATGATTCAGTGAGATAAGTTTAGAAAGTAAAAACTAGAGGTGTTGAAGAATCCAGAAGATTAGCATTTGAGAGAACACAAAGAATAAATGCACCGGCGCCATTGCGAACGATTTTGAGCCATGTCATTCAAGGTCTCTAACCATCGATTATTATCATCTCGCGGACCCCAACCAGGTAGTCGACAATTACCGACATGGCAGATAGCTACCGTATGGTAAACGAATTTATACATAAACAGATGAATAGAAAAGGCGACCGTAAAGAACTTATAAGAAGAAAAACTGTCTAATTTGGAGTATCTAAATTTAAAACTGATACGTTAGTGGGCTATGACAAGCATCAGAACGAAATTATAGAACAGGGATATCAGTTTGGATGACGGGAGAGAAAGACTCAGACTCTACAACCAGTAGACCTAAAGGAGTTTGTGCCACAACCTGTCAAAAACTCAAACTTGGTTTGCCATTTAACCTATAAAACGTCATCGAAATTTTTATCTTTCTTGAAATGCATCACTGACACCGAAGTATATCAGTTTCGTGAGGATTAATTACTTAATTCGTTACATTTAAAGACCTGACGAAAAATCGAAATTAAACGATGTATCTGTCCTTTACTCACGATGAAAGGTTTGTTTTGTTAAATTACCGATAAGAAGAAGCATATACACTTACAGCTGAGTCGGCTTGACGATAACAGGCAACACCGAAAACGGCGTCGTCTTTTTTCTCTATTGAGGGCAAACTGAAATATGTGCAATCTAAATAAATCAGCCAACTGCATTCGTGACCAACCTTTTGTGTAATTATGTGCTCCATCGGCTATTGCTAGAGCAGGCAAATGACGCCACTGATGAGGAAGATGAGTTGGGTCGGAACCATTATTGGTTAGTGAAGGATAAACTAGTTCAACCTTGAGAATTATGTGCCTAAAATGTCAAATACTTACAACAGATCCCTTCCTGTGATGAAAGCCAATTAAAATTAAGTTTAATATACTATGGGAATTCTGCATTTCTCAAGGTTACATCTCAATCAGAGCGCCACAAGACTGATAACAACCAAACATTCATTTCAAAAGTTTCAAATAGCTGAAGATGGGATAGGAAGAACCTGGAATCCATATCAAGGCACAAGGGATCGCCGATGTCTCCAAATAAGAACCTACGTATATTCAACGCGTAAAGGAAAATATTATTAAATTGTGATAAACTGTCTTGAGACCTTAATTAAGTGTGGGGTTTCTGCCTGAAAGACCACAGGAAGTCACTTTTACCACTTGAACCAGTAGCGAGTTCTGTAATTCAACTGTTCGTGAAGAGTGGAAGGTGTGTGCAGTCAATTTTGCTTCCAGGCCACTAGGTTTTGGGATTTTCTTCCAAGTTCTTTGTTGACAGTAACCGTAAAGAGTGGATTATTTGGATATGAAGTTAACGGGTCACATAAAGATGACCTGAGGGTTTGTGCTTATCGATAAAATATATACAGCTGCCCTTATCAAAGGCTTTTGGAGAAGTCAAGTTATATCACATCAACCTTTGTTACGTCCAGTTTTTTGCTCGTTGATCTTATGAAGCACTGTTGTCGTCTATCTGTAATTCACGGTCCCAAATTTCTATACCAAGAACGAAACTCCAAAGTAGATACCAAAGTTTATTCCAAATCACAAATTCGACCAAAATAATTTATTACAAATAGACGACCAATGTCGTTCTAACAACAATAATTATAATAATTACAATTACCTTCTAATTTATTATCTCTTGGAGCAAAAAACTGCAACGAACAACAAAGAGAAACGGGAGTCCAATATGTCCGCAAATAATAATTCAAACAAGTTCATAAGTTAAGTAAAACAAATGTACCCAAAAACAGTGAAGTTAATGATATTTATACATGAAGGTTTTGATCAGCAAAATGTCTTCGTTTCTCCCGTAACAACCTTCCCTTTGTGATCAAGGATGGTTGTCCATCTGTCCGTAACAATCAGAAGGTTGATGATACAGAAGGGGGCCTAATGGAAACCCTATCGCTAGGGAGAAAAAATTATCGGTATTAAATAATATCAGAGACCGTCAAATACCAATGAATCCATAACTTTCGTTTGCATTGAACATATTGCTCTCGGCCGGTAACTTTAAGGTTCATTACGCCAGCCCACTCTGGAAACTTTCAAGCAACTGAGAATGTCAAATCAAGAATGAGGCTGTTTCATTAGGCGTAGCAGAGTGAACCATGCCCAAGCCGGGAGAAGCATTCTCGTTGAGATTAGGAGGTTTTTCATTAAAAAGAATAGCGCTCAAGTTCACTCTGAGACTCCTGTTGGCTTACAGGTAAAGCCCTCTTTACTATAGGTCCTGTATGATGGTTGAAACATCTAGATATACTGTTCTACCAGAAGCTCTCCTACATCACCATCATTGTCAGTGGGGCCCTTAAAACCTAACGATTGAAAAACTCCAGCTTTGGTCAGTCGAAGAGAGGCTATATGACGGAAGAAGCTTTTTAATTTGAAGAAAAATATGTTCATTAGCTTTATCTGATATTGAAGCTTGTCTCATACCAGTACCTTTGTACAGTGGTTTCCGTAACATTTGAATTTTCATTAAACCACACAGAAATAATCATCCATTGATCCTAGGTTTCTAGTGGTGGTCTAACAATGATCGATTTATAATCTCATTTAGTTTTAATTGTCTACACATGTTGTCTTCACCACTTTGCTTATATCTCGCCAACAAGTACCTTCGAAGCTTTACAATTCGAACAGTGTGATCACTCATGACCATAGGTTGTTTGTACATTTTACTGAACGTTCGCGAAACAGATTGATACGTAGCACGTGAATACATTTTTAGTAGAAAATCCTAGAGGACGTCTTAATCAGAATAAGGTTGGGCATCCCAGCCCGCGTGCTGCACATCAATTTTAAGTCTGAGAAGCCCGTCCGTCTACAACTCCAAAAACTGTTATCAGCAGGATATTTTAGTTTCGCCAATAGAACTGAGGGCTATGATGGTGTAACAGCTTTTCCCAAAAGATGTCGAGGTTGTCTAAAAGGATGATGTGATGTAAGTGTGATCGCATTTGACTGTTTCTCCACCAATTGTCAGTAGAGTTACCAGCCCCATTGTATGTACAGTCAGCGAGGTTGACTTTAGGAAGCCTGAAGTCTTCTGTGATTCATGATGAATAAAGTATTATCACAAAACTTGACCGAATTTTCAAATTTCTGGTGACGTTCATACTGTGGGACCTTTTCTCTAACTGCTAAATTGCGATCCACGTTTCCCTGCCCGGTTGGACAATCTTCAGAGTAGATTGCGCAGACAGTCCATAATTTGACTTTTTCTAAAACTTGAACCTTTTGAGGATCTTTGATGGTGATGTTGCTCAGCCATTGTATTACATGTACTACGATCTGACTTACTGTCTGTTATGAGCAACTGCTTTAAGGAGAGTGTATACATTTATTTTACAGCATGCATAGGGTGAGGCGTGTTCTCTTAGTGACCATGATGAAATAAAGCTATCGACTGAACTGGAATGAAAATCTACAACTATTAAGGAAATAGTAAAAGTATTCTTAAAAAGAGGTAGTGCAAACACTAAGAACATGTTGCAGCTAAACTGAAAATGAAAAAAAAACCGAAAAATAAGCCTGGGTAAAACTGCAGATTCGTATTTATTCTACTAAACCTCAAAACTAAACCAATCTGCCGAACCTTAATGTCAGCACAGAATCTTCAGGACAAAATGACACTCATCACATAAAAACACGGCAAAAGCCTGGGAAATGAAGATCACATTGATCTAATACTTCCCACTTAAATTAGTTTAATCTTTTAAAACGCTAAGCGAACTGACCAGTGGTTTAATGTCACTAAAGTATCTGTATAATTATTCAGATTATATCTAATTATATTCACAGTTTGTGAGAGATCATGTGTCTGGACCTGGAAATGCGCAATGTTCTGTAGAACAAAGTCTTGTACTGCATACACTTCCGACTGAGTCCACTTTACAGTCGATGAGTTTTTGTTTGCTAATGTGGCGTGCAAAATTGTAGAAGGAAAGTAATTATGCACTTAATATAGGGTATTTAATTATCAGGTTCAATACCGGCAAACGACCGTATTCTACATCCCTTCACTGCTGGGAAGTACCCCATGCTACTAGCTCAGGTGCTATCTTGTATGATACTTTGACTAGTCTTCCCCGACCCATCGTACCCTCTGATTATCATTGTCTCGTTTTTGATGCTCTTCTTGGACTATCTCACTCAGGTATTACAGTCACATTACGTCTCATCGCTGCATGATACGTCTGGCCTTCCATGAATCAAGGTTTCCGTTGATGGGTGAAGCAGTGCTTATAATGTCAGAGATCAAAGTGCATAAGCACGTAGTTGCCCCCACTAACACGTTTGCTATACTTGATGCTCGCTCCAATCACATGCATATTGACACTGTGGGACCATTGCCACCATTACCTGTCTACCTGTTCATATGTTTTCATACGAGTCGATTTAGTACGCAAACCTTGGCATCAAATTTACGAAGGACCTTTTCACGTGATTTCCGGTCATGAAAAGACCGCCGAGATCGTCAGCAATTATCGTCCCGAGCCAGCATACGTCGATAACAGTGCCCTACTTGTTAACCCGAGACGCAATGCTAGACCCATCAAACTTACTAGCGGATCCCACGCTAGATATATCGGTGACCTAATTCTCACGTCACAGACAACAGTACGCGCCATGTGCACTATCTATGGATGCGACTCCGGCCCCACGTCCAGATCACCAGACCATGTCGCCCTTGGCTTCAGATGACATTGCAGCCTCACGAGGTACGAACGAGACTAACGTCTCACGTTCTGGTCGCGGAGTACGTCGGTATGTACGTTTTCGCGACTAACCTCTCGATTAACAGCGGACAGGACATGGGACTCTACCCCATACTACATGCATGTGGCTCGTCAACTTGAGCAGCAAACATGGCATGTTAATCATAGAAGACCTTCGGTGACAACTCTATCATCATGGATCGTTTCCTGTTCGTCAACACTTCCGTCCTACGACTGCAAATTCGCCAACCATTCCTGCGAACGAAACCGACACATATCGAGATTGTAAACCCTTTCTAGCGGGGGCTGCTATAGTAAATCGAAATTTATGAAGTGAAAGCGACTGGTTTGACAGAAACTTCCATCATTACAACCAACTGTACCAGTGATTGTTTTACTGTACTCTTTGTGTAGATGCACTGGAGTCACCCACTTTCCGTTTTGTGTTGCATTCATCTCGATTATTGTATTCATGTTAGTCTCACCTGTATCTTTTGGCGTGATCTCGGTATTATTTCTATACCAGGAGATCAGCAACAAATATATACATTCATTCCTACATCCAATCCTCCTCTTCGTTTCAGTTTTACGGAGAGATTTTACCTGTTAAGTGGAACATAATTGGCCTTTAGTTATCATCATAGTCAACTGCGACTCGTCCAGCTACAGATTTTTATTGAAACTGGCACTGAAAAAATCAACGCTTTTATTAGAATACAAATAACAATGGCAGTATTGTTTACAACCTTGGATCTTAATGAGACAAATGATGAATGGATATGGACAGGTCAGATACTCACTGTATTAAGAATCATTCTAGCTTATCATTTATTCACTCTTTCAACTCAATAATGTATTATGGTTAGGGTTAGATGAACTCCTGCTGGGCGTGAATAGTGTGACTTCCTAACCACATCTAGCAATGAAGAGCCAGCTTGGATCAACCCTTTATAATCCACAAATGATAATGGCCGTTTCGTAATTGCATACAGTGAATATAATCTCATCAAAAACACTATTAGACAGTTATGCATTCGGTTATTGTGGCAGACCAACAGTTTATCACTATCAAAATGGTGATAGGGTTATTTTGAAAGGAATATCCAGAAAAATGAATCACACGTAGATATATTTAAGTCAATACAAAATTTATCGTGGGACTTCACT